CATTGAACCAATTACACGCTCATGCTTATAACATTATTTTATCTTAAATGAGGGGTTAGGAAGACAGGAGAAGTGTGGGGGGAGAGGTTTGGTCCTGCTAAAAGCAGGCTGGAGACACAGCCAAACGAGGTAAAAGAGTTGATAAACATTAACCATATGTATGAAATGTATTGAACATGGAAACGCCTTCGGGAAGCACTGTATAAAAGAGAGTACAGACACAGACTCTATAGATTGTTCTGCAGAGCTTTCTCGGTTTTATTGTCTCTTGATAATAAAATCTCTTCTGGCATCAAAACCCCAAAACTTTAAGAATGATTTCTCACAGCATCAGCAGAAGCCACCACATAAACAACCGTGTTTTTTTAAGAAATGTAACAGTTTAAAAAAATCACGAGTGCAATTTTTGGGACTTCAAATTTTGTGCTACCATCCACTCCCATTATAAAGCATGGATTAGCCTGGACCTTATTTAAAGGGGTCATATGACGTTGCTAAAAAGAACATTACTTTGTCGGGAGTAAATGACGACTGCTATGTTCATTATTACATCCAACAACAAAACACCTCAATCGCTTAGGAGTCATTCTTGTCTACATCTGCTCCGGCGGTGAAACAATGGAGGACTGTCTACAGCTCACTCAGGGCGGAGCTAAGGTAAGACACCAGTCCAGTCTGTGCTGAAACGCTACTGTCAATCAAACTATCATGAGAGGGGCCTGCACAAACAGGCATCTGAGATCGGCTCGATTTGAGAAAGGGTAAAACATTTAACGAGATTTTTTAAAAAAACACTGGGTGGATCTTCATCATTATAGGGTGGTTGTGTACACACACTGCCAACACACATTTCAGTTCAAACAACTTGTAGAAGTGCATGTAGCATCATATGACCCCTTTAAGTACATCGTAGACCCATTGAAACCAATGGAGCTACGATCAACTTAGGCTTACGATGCTTTTGGGAAACACAGCCCAGGTCGTTTCTGCTGATTGTCACACAAACGTTAACAAATAGGCTTCAGTAACAGAGTAAACAGTTTTCCCATAAGTCGTCAATACGATGCAACGAGAGTTGCCTTTCGATAGGGAAATACGATTACTAATGTTTTGAGGAGTATGTGTGGCAGTCAGTCACCGCACCGGTGTGGATATTTACTGTACTTCACAATCACAGATTCTAGCCTACGTCTTGGAATATATGACCCAAATAAGAATTTTCACCGAATATTGTCATCTGAACAAGTAAGTAACAAGTCTGCCACGTTTGTTCTGACCAATCACTTTAGTGTACCAACTTAAGTGAATAACAGCTTGCATTAGTAGCTTTTATAGTGTACATGCACTTTAAAAAAAATCATGGGTTATTTTATTTCAACCCAAATTTTTTTGTTTCGGTAGTTTTTGTGTAAACTAGCTCCTGGGACAGGACAGTCGCAACAACAGAGGGGTCGTAATGAGCGCTGATATTTTGCAACCTCTTCAGGTAAAGAATAGTTCTCCATGCCGCCAACTTGCATTTCTTTGGTCAAGTATATTATTTAATCTATAAAACCATTTCTTTGCTGTAAATCATTTTATTTTATGCAAAGCAAACTACAGGGACGTGATGTCAGTCACCTAAACGAGTCGCATCGGTCTTTTCGAAAAAAAATACTTTTAAATGTTTATTTTTTTACTTCTAAAATGCGTTAAACGATTTAAAATGTAAGAAATGTTGTATACATGTTTAAATGGTAAAATATTTTGTATTGAGAACTGTACTGTAGGCTATTTAACGAAAATAAAGGCAATTATCCACAATTTGCAATTATTATCCATAATTTAGGATTAGCCCAACGTGTGTTCCGTCCTATTTTTTTGTTTGTTTGTTTGTTTTTGTTTTTTTAACCCAGTAGAACAAACGAAAAACACAATTAACAATATATTTAACACTGCAGTGACACAGAAAATTAAGATAATGTCATTCTTACCTTTCTAGTTGTTTAAAATGGACCATAAAACAGGCATCAATTTCCCCTCGGTCTCTCTAGATCGTGCTTTGCTTCTGGAGTCATTTGCAGTCCTGTGTCCCTTTGAAATCCATGACCTCACGTATGGAATGGGGTTAAACTGAGATAATGGTGGTCTAACAAGGCAGAGAAATAAAAGCAATAAAATTGTGGAGGTGTGGCGAGATGATCGGTTGGCACTGCAAATTAAGTTAATTTGAGAAAAACCCCTCTCACACTCTGCACTTGAAATCGGAACCGTGGTAACAGCAGTCAAAAGGTATTTTAATCCTGCTGGGATGAGCCGGCCACCCTTCTCTCGATATTCCCTCAAAGCCCGAATGGCAGTTCGAGGGTCAATGCCAAACTTTTGACAAAGAGACTCAGTTTCTTTATCACCATACGGTGCTCCGGCATTCTGAGGCCAGTATTCAGGAAAAAGCACTTTTAACTCTTCGATGAATTTGTTGTACCCCATCCGGTCCCCTTCTGCCCTTCCGTACGATAGCATGCGATTCCCTAGGCTTCTCGCCAGACTCCTAAAAAACACCTTGTGGTCCATTCCTTTTTCTTCTCTTCATCCTGGATGCAGAGGAACGCCTTGGAAGATGCTGTCATTTACAGCATTTTGACTGATTTGGCTATAACGTCCAGGTCTCTCAGACATTGCCTCAAACACCCTTGCCTCGCGACAAATAGCTCTATGAGCTGCTATAACTGTACAGTCCAAGCTCCAAGGACAGCTCAGACAATTCTTGAAGTGCATCGTACATGAGGCCGAAACTGTATGAGGACAAATGCTTAGCTAGGCCACTGTAGCTAGCACGGGTAACGCTGTCAAGGGAGGAATCTTCTGCTGCCTGACTGAAAGTATTGTAGAGGGCAGGATAATTTTTCCATACAGCTCCCACAGATCTAAAACTCGACGCAACCCATCTGTTGTCCAAGACCCGACCAATTCTGCACAACTGAATGTCTAATTCATCAGCACATTTTTTAAGCTCAATTCTGTTTTTGTTTGATGTGCTGTACAATGTGTATAGTTTATCCATCAAAATCCTAAAGTGATTTATTTCCCCTAATTCTTTCATTTCATCAAAATTCTTGCAGTAGTTTTCACTTCATCGGACAGGTTATTTATTATTGTTTTTTGTAATGAGTCTTCTTTTGCCTTTTCGAGAATGCTAAGTGCTGCAATGTGCGCCTTCGTCTGAGAGTGTTCAAAAACCTTTTTCCTAAATGCCCTCTGTTGTTTTTTAAGATCTTTGGCTGATGACGTTACAGAGCATGTCACCCACTCTTTGGCCAGTTTCATCCCCGACGATTTTTCGGGACCCAGGCTTCCAACCTTTTTGCAAAAGGTGCAGCCCAGATGCGACCCCTCCATAACAAGCCAAGGATATAATGTCTTTTTTGTTTTAAACTCTGCTTCAGTCCATATTGCCCCCGTTTCTTGGGTTTCTCCATCTTCGGTGCTTGTTTTCTCACCTCCACATGCTTCTTCCCCCGGCCCGCCAGAACTCTCCGCAGTCGTCGACTTGCTCCATTCATCGCAGGTTGTTTTGTCTTCCTTTCTGTTAACATCATCAGCCGGTGAACTTGAACCTTTGCTATCGGTATCTATAATAATTCTGGCCTGTTTGGTTTTAGACGTTGGGCCCTCTCTAAAATAATCTCATAAATTAAGCTGTCTTTTCGCCATTGTTCCACATTTCCAGTTAAGCACTGAAGCCTCCCCTCCTCCTCACACACAGACACGTGCAAATCAGCATCCTCCAGTCACAGAAGTTTATTACCGTGGAACTAAAACCTCTGAATCCTGACATGGATAATACTCGCATCTTTTATTTATTTATTTATTTTTACATTATCATCTTATATTTTAAAGGGGATAACGTTATTGACATTATCATTATTATATGTGCTTTTTCATTGAATATATGCACGCTACAGGTCAGCGAATGTTTTTCATTGATGTGTGAGGAGGGGGATCCGCCAAGATCAGGTGCCGGATCCGGATCCCGCTTGCTCCGGCACGAATTAAGCCCTGGAAACGCCCCCTAAAGGACTGTGTAATTTTTTTCTGTGAAATAAAACTTAAATGTGTCCGGGAAAGTTATCATAGTTTTAGTGACAATGACATAAATGGTAAACCAAGTATGAAAAATGTCACAATTTTTTCATGTTATTAGGTTTTTCACAAAAATTATTATTATTTTTTAAATGGTAAAAAAATTAAGGGGGTCTGACAAAGTAATTTGCTTTATACATTTACAGCAGAATCAGAGAATGCACAGTTTTAGCTTAAAATTTAAAATAATATAATCAATAATTATGAATTACAAAATACTAATAGCCTCTTTGAAACATATTGTTAGCTAATGCTAACTGGCCAGCTAACTAGCTGCCTGATTCTAACTTGAGGTCTTTTCAAATATAAAGTCCAAATATTTTTATTCAATCAACTAGTTAGAATACATTTGATGGACAACAAAAGATCTGATGCTCAGAACAGAACTATGGTAATTAAGCCATGTTCCCTGGGGGCGTTTTATCCACAGAAAAATGATATCATTCTGAAAATATAATTATATTTTTCTTAAATAACATGTGCTCCCTATCTACAGGCCTTACTATTCTCATATCATAACTAAACAACAAGCTTTAAAATCTTGCTGCTGAAAATGAAATGATTTACTGTGAAGCCTGTTTTCTCTCAGGTGCATCACCAGTGTAAGTGAACACTTCTACATCACTCCTGTCAATGTAGGCCACTCCATAGTTACAATACAAATGTATCTTGACTTTATCTAGTGGATATTTGGGGGGCTACCCTATATTAAAATAGTCTTTTTCAATCTGTAATCCAGATGCACTCTGTTTTGTCTTGTTTGATCTGCACACTCCGTGATTAATCAGCACGAGAGACTGGAGCAGTGACGGGGAGACGTGTTTGCGTCATCAGCCCCGCCCCGCGTTTATATGAGCGCTGCCGCGGAGCTCCGCCCTTCCGCTCGCGCTCCGGATCCACAGAACCGCAGGATCATCCGTCAGGTGTGTGTGTGTGTGTGTGTGTGTGTGTGTGTGTGTGT